ACACACACACACACACACACACACACAATATGTCAAATTTGTGTATATATTCTATTATTTTGTTTTAGTAAAAATAAATAATTTTAATTGATTATTATTTTTTAATCAATAAGAAGAAATTTTTTCTCAAATTTTTTAAACAACGGTACTATTTTTGGGTATCCCTAAATATTTATATAATAAGATATTATATTATATTGATATTATATTGATATTTGCTCGGTGTGACTCGCAATGTCTGTGGAATATTGAAACAAACAGGCGGAGAGATGAGTTTCATTGAAATTTTAATACTGAGATTAACTTTTTTATCTTTTATAATTTTACATAAAAAGTGTGATGCACTCAAATTACTTTCATGATATTTAAATATGTTCTCTAGAAGAACACTCTGAAACTATTAGAAATGATAAAGAAATATTTTTTAAACATGCATATAAAAATAGAAGAATTCGTTTAATCGTTAAGTATGAAATATCATGTTTTTGAAATAATATGTATGTTTCCTTAAACAAAAATAATATGATCACTTATATATTATAATTATTTTCAATAATACAATGTATTCTTTTTGTACAACATACAACGATTGTTCCTTTTGTAATTGTACCCAGGCAGAACGATTTCTGATTTTTTCTCAATTTAGTAGATATTTTATTATTGTTATTGTTATTGTTGTTGTTGTCATTGTACAGAGTATATCTCAATCAATTCCGTGGCATGTCGCTCTCTATAATTGTAAATATGTAGAGTGTCAATGATCATTTCAATCTACGTTGATTAATTCATTTAAGAGATTTTATTTATATATAGAAATCCTTAACTATTGATTTTTAGGCCAAAATATACCAGCGTTTTCCCTTTTTTTTCTTTACGAACCTAATGTACGGACCAGAAATGTCCAAAGTGCAATGTACCAAATATATGTAACAATTAGTGACATAATTTTGTTAGATATTCAGAAAGGTATATCTGAATTATGATTCTTAATAATAATAATCAAAGCAAGACATAATGGAATCGAGTTTAATTTTTTAAATGCATTTAAATTAAACAACCAGTGAATTTTATTTATCCAATTTGATTAGAAATTAATTTTGATTCTATTGACTTTTTAATAATGTTAAAAGATTGTTTACGTGAATTACAATTTTACTACGCTGATGTTTAATTTAATGAGTAGGTATCCCTGTGTTTAGATGTATACATGTCATACGTGTTCATAAGCAGTCACTGTATCCTCGAAAAGGAACACGATAATATCTTTTAATGATATAAATCATCACAATTAATTTCTAACGTGATCGAGTATGTATAGTGAAACTCATAAGTCAGATTTCTAGAGAGAGATGCATTTTACGTCTTTCAAATATTATACAAATGGCGAATCGTATGAATAATCGTATTATCCATTATATGAATAATAATACCGCGATATTAGTTTATGACGGCCGTATCTGCGATTGTGTATTGTGATTTATAACAGCAATTATCGACTGATGTGAAAATATAAATAGTAGTTACGCAAAAGCGTCCATCGTTGCAATATTAATGGATTTTTAAGATTACGAAAATATGAAAATTGATAGAATTAGCATCATATTGTATTTAGAATCAAAGGACATAACAGAATCTACAAGTGATATTTATCCAATAGCCAATTCTGTACAGGATATACATATCTTGGACCACAATCATATGATAGCAAATAATACTATATTATGTATAGAAAAATATCAAACTTTATGTATAAAACATTTATTGGTATATTCCGAAATAAGTCAAAACATAAGCTTAAAAATAAGCTTATATCTTCAAATATATCAATTATATTTATTTAATAAGTTTATGGTGTTGATATAATTCTTATATCTTATTTAATAATAAAATGTCTAAATAAATAATATTAATCATAATTATATACCCCAGAATATTTAACAAAAAGTCTTGAAGATATTCGAAAAGAAAATTTTTAGAACGTCTTCTTAATTTGACACTATTTTATTTTCAATCATCAAGCTTTATAATATTGAAAATTGAAAAAGTTTATCCGGAATTATTTCTGCTTTTCTAAATTCTAAATTCTATTTTATACAGAATTTATAAAACATTCTGCATAGATATCCAATATAATTTAAGCCAATATATAAATAATCTTAATCTGGTGACATGTAATAAAATAATGTATTTCTTGTTTGAATTATTAATATATAACTCTAATGATATTTATTATACATTATTATTTAGATATCTTATTTATGATTCAATTAGAAAAAAAGAAAGAATTATTTAGATTATTAATCGGATTCTTTAATTGTGATTTTTTCTTATTACAAAAAGATACTGATTGTTGTGTATAATAATAATAAATAAATAATCCAATGTTTTTAACTTAACGTTTTCGAAGCTTAATAAAAGATTACAGGTATATGCAATTGAAATTGTGTTACGTTTTATCATTGATTATTAAAAAAGAGATAATAACTAAATAACTATTTCTCAAACATCAAAATTCTATTCTATTAAAAAAACTTTTTTACTTTACACATTTTATTCGAAAATCTTAAAACAGATATTATCAGAGATATTGGAAAGTTACTTTTTTGCTACATTTATCAAGCATATGAACTATAAAAGTAAACCAGTTTTAAGCAAAAAGCTTGTGTTACAATAAGCTTGTTTATTTTTTTTTAGATCACAAGTTATTAATTGATTTATATTTATATTTATATTTATATTTATATTTTTTGATTTATATTTATATTTTATATGTTATACAACGCAACACATGTATTATTTAGTGAGAAATACGTTTTTGTTTTTTTATTAAAATTTATCATTATATTTATGGATGAAGGATCTAATAATATTTTCTTCCAACATCTGTCAAAAAAAAAACCGTGTAGTTAACGTATTATTTTTAACCGCGATAATACACGCTCTAAATACAAGCTGGCATTTATTGCAGATGTGAGAAAGGGCTTACGACGTGGAAGAAGATGATAATGTATGGAGTACATCAGTTATTTATAGGATCGCTAACAAGTTTATGCAACATTGTCAATCTTGTATGTTAACACTAAATATAGAAGTTAAATTAATTTTTCATTGTTGAAATGTATATTTCTATTTTGATGATATTTCTAAAGAAATACAAATTTCTCCGGGAGTAAAAATAATAGTCATTAATTCTATTGATTATATAGAAAATATTATGATTTGTTAGATAAAATTAAATTAAATTAAAATCAGATAGATTTTAAAGGCCATCATAATGCTAATCATAATGAATCAATCATACACATGAGGCAAACGACTAATTTAAATGCACACACATACAGAGGATATTTTATATAATAAAGCGTTACAAGATTTTTCCGAAATTATTAAAAAAATTCTTTTTGCAACGTTTATTATATTAGGGTCTTTTAAATTCACGCTAGACGAGATACCTTGTTGATCCCTTCAAGAAGGGGCAAAAGAGCTGACACTCCATTTTTTCAATAGAATTACATCACTTTTTTACATCATATTAATTCTCTATCAGTTATTCTGTAAAATATTAAGGGAAAGTTATCCAAAAATCAATAATTTACAAAACATTTTATTCTTTGTTCTGATAGATATGAAATATTTCGTAAACTATTTATTTTTTGGTAATGCCTTAATATTTTTATGTGTAAAATAATGAAACAAGTCAATTGGTAAATAATAATTAAAAAAATAAAACTAATAAGAGTCAGACATGGAAGTCAGTGCGTAAATCAATTACTATAAAAAAGATATATAATTATATATTGCCTTAAAGAATATATAATAATATATAAAAATATATAATTATATATTATAATTTTTTTAAATTAACTATATTTTTTGCTCATTGATTTCTTTTATTTTTCTGCATAAAGATATTAAAGTACAATTATCAAAAAACGAAATAGTTTATAAAATATTTTATAAATTATTGTATGCCACAGTCTGCCAGAATAAAATAAAACTATCTCTAAATTATTGATTTTTGTAATAATTTTAGAATAATTTTATCTCAATACTTTTATTTGTATATTTAATAGAAAGATTATATTATATAAAAAATTAGATATGCTATTTAAGAAATGAGGGATATTGCCATTCAAAAATTAATGGTGAATTCTTCTTCATGTAATCTTCAAATACTTATTCAATGTCAAATTTAACACTATTATTTATTAAAATCCTAAAATTCTAATCAAAGATATTTTTTATATGATGCCAAGTTTAGAAAATATGTTACTTTATTAAAATAACACACTTTGTATAAGATATATGAAAAGTTTCGGAACGAATTAATATCTTAGGAAGAAAGCATTTTACAAAAAAATGTTATAAAATTATAAGATTTAAAAAATTTAATGCATTAGTCTATTTAATGGACTGATGTTATTGTTAAATAATATTACAATTATATCAAGATCTTGAATTTATTATTTATTATTATTGAAGTTTCTATTTTTTATTGCATATTTTTGTAATTTTTGTC